GTGTTAGCAGTCCCAGAAAGAATGTCAGTGTCATTTAATGTTCAATGGGATTTATTTCTTAAAGAATTAGGCATTGGGCTCAATTTCTACATTTTTTTCTGTTAAAAAGTAGGGTAGGTACTTTGCAAAATACGATACAAAATTTGACATTGGTAAACTAAGACAATGAATACTTTTTAATACTTTTCAAACATGTTACAGAAACTTGTCTTTCTGCACAGATGATTTAGTTCATTGTACATAGCCATTGAGGGTTTAACTATGCTATATGTAAAGATTAAATGGAAATAAGCAAATAGACAAATAGCTATTCTGTAAACTTATTTTATAATCTTAAGTATCAATATCTCCTCAATATAAGAAAATATTTTCAATATCAGAAATTTTATAACAAAAGTCATTTATTTCCTGAATAGCTAAAATATAGCCAATAACTATAATGGCTGTTCACTGCTCTTTGCAACAGTGGATATCTGTTATGTCCTAGGTGGTTAATTGTACCTTGGACATCTGAAGTTTGCAAGTCCACTGAGAAACCAAAGGACAATGGGGCAGGTATACAGTAATGGGAAGGGCACTCTGAATTGCTCTTTAAGGTATGCTTTGGCCTTACAAGGATTATAAATAACTCTGAATCTGTGTTTTGAATATAATTCAGCAAGTCTTTAACATAAAGTTATTGGATATTTTTGGGATTAAATGTTCTGTAGCCTTAATTATAGTAAATAATACCACACATAAAATTATAATGCAAAATATTATATGATTCCTAACTCTTGTACTAGAATAAGATAGGAAATGAATAGTGTGGTAGGGGCATAGAGTGACAATCCAATTAGGATTAAAAGAGTCCTCTCATTAAGTAATGGCACTTGAGTTTGGTACTGATTGAATGGATAGCTCATATCCAATTTTCTGAAAAAGCAGGGAATTAGGAAGTAGATGCTATAGTTAAGAGTATAGTCTGAGGCAACCAAAGCCTAAAGTCCAAATGGCCAGCAGAAGACTCGGTCATGTTCGGCTGTGACATTATTGTGAAGGTAGCAGTCTTATCTATTTTCAATTCAGTTGAAAATTCAGTTGAAAACCAAATCTGTGTTTAGGAAACTAAAATAGTAGGTTGATTTTGTGGTAATAAATTAGCTCAGTTATGGGACAATGAGACCTGAACTTTGGAAGTGGCAGCTAGAATGTAAAATGCATGAACTATAAAATGTGTTGTTCCAGAATAAAATTAAATCTATTCAGGAAAAGTAACTGTATCAGTGATCCACAGATTCTACTAGTGGAGACAATAGAGTAGGAACGAACCGGCGCTCAACTGCTGCGCCACCAGGGGAGGCCCAGGTGGGTGGTTCTTTTAAAATCATTATATACAAATTATATTGGCCAAAGATGGGCCTTTGAAGTGTTACATTTGCTACATGCCCCCTCATGCCAATGGATGACATTGAGTCTTCATATTATATTACTTTAAAGGAAAACATCTGGTTTAAAAATTAGTAATAAGTTACTTGAGCTCTTGCTTATTAAAGTAAATGCGTAAATTGTTTTATATATATATATATATATTAAATTGACTCATGTATTTTTCTTTATGCTTAAATAATCTTTAATAAATAATTGTAATCTTTATGCTTTAATAAATAATTGTAATCAATGGGTACCTGTAGAGCAGGCATGTTTGAATAATAACTATTATGATTCTAAAACATCTGTACTTGAATTTGAAAACTGTGTTTTCAGTTCAGGGTCCAAACCATAATACTCTGTACTTATAATAATGGATGCAGTTTTCAATAATGCTTATTTGAAATAATATTTTTCATGTTTCACATAATGGATACATTGAAGAAAACATGTCACTACTCAAAACATGTCACTACTCAAAACATGTCACTACTTAAAGCAAAAAACTCTATCTGAATATGGTTGAATATACCTGAATTCCCTGAAATTTTTACTTTTTTAAACATTTGCACATATGACACTTAGGTTGGGGGGCAGTGATGAGGAGCGTTTCTTAGACATATTCCCAATATTGCAAATGTTAATGAATGAGAGTTTGTCCCCTCACTTGTTTTATTGCACCAAAGGAGATGAAGAAATTAAGTATATCAAAAGATCAAGAGGAAAACAATCAAATGTAAATTAATTTCAGGTATATAAACTGCTTGATGTTAAAGACACCCACACCTCTCCATCTGTGCTAACCACAGTACCACAGCGGGCCCTGGCACATAGCTGGGATGCATCTAACATGTGTTGCATGAAGGAATGAAATATAATGTTTGAAAATTTCCCAACACATCTGTGAAATGTAAATTACGATGGATCTGGACAAGAAGGAAAGATCATAAGGCTGTAAGAATGACTCTAACTGGAAAATATAAAATGTCAGACTAAATAATTTCTAGACTCATTCCATTGCTTATTTAAGTAGCTTCTTATATTCAAATATAAGTTGAATAACTTGGAACAAATTCATGTTATAAATTTTTAAGCATGATTTTGTTTTTAAAGCTTTAATAAATAATTGTAATCAATGGGTACCTGTAGAGCAGGCATGTTTGAATAATAACTATTATGATTCCAAAACATCTGTACTTGAATTTGAAAACTGTTTTCAGTTCAGGGTCCAAACCATAAAATTTGGAATCAGATAACATTGACTTATACATTCCTCTTTCATTGTTTGCGATCTTAGTAAAGTGTTCTATGAGAAAAGAGAAGAGGAAAATAAAACTTCAATCAGATATAGCCTTTTAGTTGTGATGATCTAAATTAATGACAGGAAATAAAGAAATTAATAAGTTTCTCTTGTATAAAACTACAAATTATATCATTCTATATTAAGAATATATAGGGTCATTAAACACAGTTCTATTCTGTTTGGTTTATGAATTGTTCTTATGTGGAAAGAGAAATGAGGCCTTGAAATCAGAGAGGAAGAGGAATTATTTCTAGTGTAAGATCAGTGGCTGAGCTTCAGCTGGGACAAAGATGAGTCACACTAGTTTAGAATGAGTGAAAGTCAGTTAACTTCTCCACGATACTGTGTTCACTCTGTCTACACAACAAAATACTAGGTTTCCTGAATTTCTTACTGCTTTCAAGGTAGTATTACAATTAGTTCAGAGCTCATACCCATCCTAGTAAGGATTACATCACCACAGGGAAACTATGGGCTACATGGACTGCATTTCTCTGACTGTAGCACTGTTAAAACTGACCCATGCAGGTTAGGGGAATTAGTTGGCAAAGACATGACTTGATATCACCTTGTCTCAAAAAAATCTACCCTGGATATTGGAGCTATAACCAGGGTCTAACAGTCTTTAATGCCAAAAGTTAAGTTATGGAAAGCTAATCACACCTGAGAAAAACTAACTAGTCAATACTTTCCCTGAGTATTTTCATGAAAATCTACATGTGAGGAGATAAAAATTAAATATAAGCAGGTGTAAACTTATTGGGGATTTAATTAGTGGTGTCTTTACATTCATTAAGGCCACATTCAACTTTTCAATGAAGACAAATGTTTCAATTTTTCTTTGTTCTTTTTCAGTCTCAAAGGATTGAATGCTTTCTTACATTGGGAATGAAGCTTTTGACATTGTGTGCATTTTCTCAGGAGCCTTTCTAAGCTCCTTTCACTGACTTCTAGTTTAGCTCCTACCACAATGCATTGTAATTTCTAGTTCATGATATGCAGAGATCAAATCATCATGTAGGCAAGAAGTGATGCATTATTCTTTGAGGAACAGTGAGAAGTAGGTAGTGTTCACAGTAAACTCCTGGTAGGAGATGGATCTTTTCACACACCACCCAGAGTGGGGGTTGAGGGAAACAGGGATGAGGCCGTTAGCAGTTAAAATGCTGGGCTTTTGAGGAGTTAAGCTACTGGGGCTTTGGCAGTTGAACTGCTGTGAGGAGGGGTGTTGGAAGAGAAGCCACCACTTGCCAGGTAGTTTTGGTTTGGATATCTGCGTTATGACAGACCTGTAAATCAATCTCTCTCTCTCCCTCCCACCCACTATATCTCACTCTCAGTGTAAATAGATCCTGTTTTTGTAGTTTTCTCAATGTGTCCACTTTTGGGTCACACCTGCAGTAATAAGTATGAGAGTTAGAGCCAACAGTGGGGTACTAGTCCCCTCCCCACATCCCTGGGTTTGCTATATTTCCCTTTCTTCTTGTCACGACTGTTTGCACTTGATAGGTGCTTAATTCAAAATTTTAGAATAAATATCAGGAAAGAAACATTAAATAGTGATTACAGTTTTTGTGTTGTTTTTGTTTTTTTTTTTTTTTACTTTTTAACTACTAAAACTCTACTTTTTTCAATCAATGTGTTAATGTGATTGATGGCCAATCAATGATTGATGGCCAATCAATGATTGATGTGATTGATGGCCAATCAATGATTGATGGCCAAGTGTTGATGTGATTGATAAAGGTAGAAATATTCTTTACTATCAGTCAGCAGGACTTGCAGTGACTTCTTCCCTGTGCAAATGAAGAGAAATGGAGTCAGTATGAAAATATGTATAAGGTATAGTGTGCATATGGCCGTTAGCATTAATATTTGTAATTGGAAAGGACTTTCCAATGCTTTCTCTGCTCTTGAAGTCATGTTTAAAAGAGAAAGTTATTCAAGTGAAAATGAAATACATGTATGTGATTATCTATGCCCCACAACATGGGAGCCTTGAATTAAAAGTGTATTTTGGTTATAGAGGTACACTCATTTCTCAAATGAGTGAGAATAGAGATGATAGAAAGAGTAAGTTTTTATCTGAAGAAACATATTTATGTGAATGAGACTGGAACTTCTAAGGATATCACTTAGTGGAACAGAATTAGTTAGTATTCCACTAGAGATCTATTATCGTATAGCCTGTTAAAGATGCACTGTCTCAAGATTTGAAGAACAGCAACCACAGACAATCCTGTGCGATGGAATCAGAACTGAAAAAGATCTGCAGGTACACACTGAGGATGGTTGACAACACAGCATTTTTAATCTGTATCTATAGAAAACATTTATATCAGCTCTCTAGTAGAGGGATTATAGAAATGCATTTCATATATAATAGTATACTTTAGTATACTTACTGTGAAAATAGCACATTTATTTAGAGAGGAATTTTATGCCCAAAGTTCTTGTTGATGTTTTGAAATGTATCCATTTCTTTCTCTTGCAGTAACTGATACCAAGAAAAGCAAAAGTATCAACAGTTTTCCATAACTCCTCATCCAAAGTCTTCTCATTTTGATTGATATTTCCCAAAATCATTTAGAATGTTCTTGTCAGTAAAATATCCTAGAAAAAAACGTCAGCATCTGTGTCTGGTTCAGCCTACATCTGCCTGCACTCGTGTCGGGTGCACATGGCCTGGCGCTCAATCCTCCACGTGCCCTCCTCGTAGGTGCAGTGACAAATGGTGCACTCATCGGTCTTCACTTCTCTGCCCGCGGGGATGACAGCCGTTTCTGCAAAGCAGTTTGGACCTGAGATGCAGAAAAATATTTTGTATTATGTGTGTGCATAAATATATGATTCAGTGAATGAGATAGTTCACCTCTTAGCATTTGTTTTATTCACTCTCTTATTAAGGACAGTGGAAAATTTCTGAAATGAAACTGATGCTATTTAAAAATTTTCCAAGTGACAAAACTGTGATTTTTTTCACTAACAGACTATTCCCTTTGGGGTCCTCATATGTAGGCCAAATCTATAATTAATTTCAACATGTCTTGTTTTTCATGGCACTTCAAGGAGAGTGAGCTTAAACAAAGTGCTTGAAATAACATATATTCAGGGTAACTGCCAACCTTTGAGAGCCAGTTTTCAAATGTCAGCCTACAAAACAATCATTTGCAGTGTTCTTTAAATTTAAATCTGGTTCCTGGACCTCCCTGCAAATAGGGCTGGAGAATTTGCTTTGAAAACAATTTCCACAGTGATGCTGATACTCATGGTCTGGGACACCACTTTAAAAAGTACCATCTTTGAATGTACCAAGAGTATATCTGTGACATTCTTCCACGAAAACTGAAGAATCCTTCAATTCTCAGCCAACTATAAAATTCACAAAAAGATGCTGCCTCTGCATTTTATTCTGTGCAAGGTCAAGGACCTGAATAAATGAGTATCAGAAAGAGTTCAAATATGAAATGAAATAAATGGTTTTTAATGTTATGATTTATACACCTGATTCAGATATGAGCACTTGTTCTACTACCAAACCTCGCTCTAAGATGGACATATCAGTAACTTCTTTTTTTTTTAAGATTTATTTATTTATGCATACAAGAACTGGGGTACAGGCCAGAGGTATGGGGGTGAGAGGATTCACCAGAGACAGAGCGGGGAACAGAACAGGCAGACTAACTGAATACACTGCTGAGGGGAGTAGCGGGCAAGTCAGGAGAGGTCTTCTGCACCATGTGGGTAGCTCCCTGAACAGCCAGGAATCAAACTAGTGCTGCAGAGGCTGCAGACAGCTTCATAGTGCTGCGCTCAACCCCTTGCACCACCAGGGATGCCCATCAGTAACTTTTGTGGATAGTAAAGGCCCACATCCCTGAACTTCATTAGTGTGCTCAATTTTTTACTCCCTTTCTTTGCTCTTAAAGTCTTTGATAATGTGTTCATAATAAACATGTTTAATTATAACATATGAAGTCATAAAATATATGAAAAAGATTCACCAGCAACATTAAAAAATTAATTTAGTCCAAAAAAATTTCAGGATAAAAACTGGACTTCAAAAAATTTCTAATCAAAATAATCCTAAAGCAGAATGACTCATGATTTTGTGGCTGTTGCTTTTTTAGTAATCCAAGGGGAAAGTATGTGGGCTCCTGAATGTGGATCTCTGGAAACCTTGGTTTCTAGACCCCTTCTTCCTCTGAAACTTGTCCTTATTTACCACACAACATGGTCTTGAGGTTCTTCCCTTGACCTCTGTCTTTGCTTCTCAGGACTCTCAAAGCATTCAGAATCGCTCAGTTGGGAGTGACTGCTGTTACAGCTCCAATCTTATCTCTCCTGAGCACTGGTTCTGTGTTTCCAGGGGATCACTGCCTATGTTGTCTGCTGTTACTTCAGAACTTGTTCCTCTGAAATTCACACTCCTCTATCAGCTTTGGTGAATGACAGTACTTTGAATATACTTAGTAGGCCAACAAGATGTTCTGTATCCCCAACACTCCCACACAGTCTGCCCTGGGCTGTCTCCCATGCTCCTTGGCCTAGAATCAGGACCTACATGGGTTTCTTTTCTTTTTCTTTTTTTTAAAATATTTATTTATTTATACAAGAACTGGGGTACAGGCCAGAGGTGTGGGTGTGTGTGTGTGAGAGGATTCACTAGAGATAAGAGTGGGGAACAGTACAGGTGGACTGACTGAAATGCACTGCTGAGGGGAGCAGTGGACGAGACAGGAAAGACTTCATATGTTACCAAAAGTTGCTGCCTGTGGGCATCCCCTCCCTCAGGTGCCAACAGGTTGAATGGTCCAATCAGGCTGTATCCAGGGTGGAGGACCTTAGAAGTGGACACAAGGAAGTGCAGGAGTCAGTTTGGGGTGTGTCCAGACTCCCAGAATCATCATATAATACCTGCATTAAAAAGAAGAAAGAAGCTTCCAGCAGCTAACCCCAAGGAGAGAGATACTAAAGAGTTTTGCAGGGACTGGAAGGCTGGGCCAGCCTATGGTCTTATTGCTACATGGGAAGAGTACCAAACACCCTGGGCCTGGTGTCTCAGATTGCTGTTTGGATCATGTGGCACCATCTTTTGGTGCTGCTGCCTTTGCTGTTATCTGTTTCAGTGTCCAGTGCTGTTCACTGGATCTCCAGATTGTTAATGTGGCTTCTGGGCATCATCTCGGCGAGCCTGCCTGTGGGTGCCTCTGACTGCCAGGTGTTCCAAGCCCTTGCTGACAGGAAGTTGCCATCTTTTGAGGAATGGTCTTTTGTTTGAGAATTCTGAATGCTGTGGACTCTGTCTAAGGTGAGATAGCCAGCCACTTGTGGCCTTACTAACTCTGTGTTTCCCTTGTTTGTTAAATAAACCCCATTATTGTTCCCTGAAACTGAGTGGTCTTGCAAGTGTGCATGTGGGTGAGAATCCACAGGTAGTGCCCTATGCTCTATCAGGTACTGTCTTTGGAGGGCTTTAGTACCCATATAACCCTGCTCCACATGGACTTGAATATTTAGTTTCTTCTCCAGGCTTGTGAAATTTTTCTCTATTATTTCTTTGAATACATTCTGTTCCTTTCTCTCTCTTCCCCTTCTCTACTACCCATTATTATTACTGCCTTTCATCATGGTGTTGGATGAGTCTTGAACTGTCTCTTCATTCTTTATCTTTCTCTTTCCTATCCACCTTGATTTTTTTTGTGGCTAGGAAGGAGGTCACTGAGGTCACTGATTTGATCTTCCATTTGGTCTACTCTACATCCATAATTTTCAAAAAATGTTGTATCTCCTCTATTGATCTTTTTATATCCTGTATCTCCCATATTTTCTTATTTAAACCTTCAATAATTATCTTCTGTCCATTTATGTTATTTTTCAGACCATTCATTTTTTGCATTTTCTTTTGTATTTTTGATCTGCTTTCCTGTGTTTACTGCCATTTAGTTGAATTTCCGTCATGGCAATTTTGACCTCTCTATTTGATAAGAAAAAAAGACATTCCATTTTTTTTTCTTGTAGTTGGATACTGGAGATTTATTCCCTCTGTGTGGTGAAATATTCTCTTTAGGACTCAAGGTGCCATGTATTGTATTTTTCCAACTGCCCATTTTGCTATTTTTTTTTTAAATATTAAATTTTATTTTTATATTCCCCCATACAATTGCAAACGCCCCATTCTGACCCCAATCCTTCCCCTCCCGCCCCCCACCCCCCAAAAAGTGTCTCTGGTTCATAGTTTTTTGTTGATTTTGATTTTCACTTTCTTATATTCATTTTCCTGGTCCCTTATTTAAGTTTTCTAGATTCCTGCTATGAGTGAGACCATCCGGTATTTTTCTTTAGCCATTTTGCTATTTTTTGTGTCCTGAGGTTGCTGAACTTCCACTTTTCCAGCAGATGGCACTGTGGTTTTTTCCTCTCTAAAAAATTTTCCTGACTTGGAATTTTATTATGTTATATGATGTATGCCAGGAAAAACTTATGTGCTTTTGAGTTAATTTTCTTCATTGTTTGCATTTATCTGCTATGGAGGTTCTCAATTATATTTTTTTAATTTGGTTATAGTAATTTTTAGATTCATTATTTCTAATTGTAACTGTCTCATATTATCTCAGTCTTTATTCTCTTACTGTTTTATATAATACATTGTTTATTTTAGTTAAATGAGCTGTTGTAACTGTTGCCTTGCATATTCTCCAACTCTTGATTGAGACTTCCTTGGGGTTTCATTGCAACAGCATTTCTGTTGTGGTGTCTCTTCATTTTATAGTCTTTATGAGCTATAGTTTTGATAGACTTTCAGCTGTGGTTATACCATTTGGAGAACTGGTTCTGGAAAGGGGGGATAGGTAGAAAGAAACTGAGCAGTAGGACCCTGAAGGATAGATCACCTCCAGTGAGCATCAGGAATTCAAGTCCTCTACTGTGCTTTGGGTATCAAAATTGCATAGCAGGGTTCACAGTGATCCCAACATCCAGGCCAGCTCCTCAGTCTAAATGTCTCTTAAGTCTCATGCAAGCTTATAACTCCAAACTATGTTTGAGCACTATGAGCAGTGCTGGTCACAGATTGCAGTTGCTACGGGTCACAGGCATGATCAGTTCTCTTTTAATTTCCAGTACAAGGGCCTCCCTGGTGTTGCAAGGGGTCAATGTGCAACCTGTGAAGCTATCCGTACCCACTGCAGCATGAGTTCGATCCCCAGACAGGGAGCTACACACATGGTGCAGCTGACCTCTCCTGACTCACCTGCTTCTCCCCTCAGCAGTGCATTTCAGTTGATCTGCCTGTTCTATTCCCCGCTCTGTCTCTGGTGAATCCTCTTACCTCCCACACCTCTGACCTGTACCCCAGTTCTTGTATGAATAAATAAAGACATCTTTGAAAAAATAATTTCTAGTACAGAGTCTCCTTTTGCTGTTGTATGTGTGCCTGTTGTAACAGGTGCTTAGATTTTTGTTAATGGTATTCATGTGTTGTCTCGATTTTACCCTGGATTAGGGGGTGGCATTCTAAAATCAGGCTTTGAGTGGTAGCCTTCTTTATGAGGATATACAGGTGAACCCCCTGATCCTGCTATTGGACTCCAGCAATTCTATATTGGGGGCTTCATGTTTAAAACAGTAATCATCACTTTGCACCCCTGCTCCATAGTTCTCCGATAGTGCACTGTCTGTCCTGAATACTATCTCTCTACATATCCTTATCCAGTGTTATGCTGGGTCTCCAAATTCCCCAATATGGGTATATGCCCTGAGTAGTCAAATGTAGGGGATCCATAAAGTTGTTACCCCCTCC